TRARMWTTTCTGGCTTCCCCCTGGATCCGATAAATATACCAAGTTTGGCAAGGCCGAGTGGGAGAGACTGGTGGGCGGTGGTGCGAAGTTGTGAGTGTGTGAGATAGTTGAGCGGAAGTAATGATGTCGAAATTGGATCACGTTGTAGCGAGTTCTTTGTATATGAGTTCATCTATATCCGATTATTGCGTCGTGCGTAAGCTGCACGAATTTGAACTTCGGACAAGCCATATCGGAGAGATTGAACAGGCACTACGAAAGGGGTAAATCTTTTCGCCTAGCAAATATACTACAGAAACCTACGCCCGTCATGCGACTCTTGWGCACTACTGCTCTTGTCAATTGACAGCTTCGTCCAACCTAGTTTACCGGCCCATCAGTCCCCGTCGACTTGGATGTATGTGAGAAAGGTCCTCCTTGGCCTCCTTCACCACTTCCTTCACCTTGGGTGGAGCTCGCCGAGGTGGTGAACGCGATTTGGAGAGCGAGCGTGAGCGAGAGTGGTGGCTCACGGCGCGCTTCCGCGGTGGAGTAACAGAACGACTCTCGCTCCGGCCTCTTCGACGTACCGGAGAGCGTGAACGAGAGCGAGAAGGAGTGTCGCCTCTTCGTCTCGCTCTTTTCACGGGTGTCGGCGAGCGGGAATAGCTTTGATCGCGTCCGCGTCTAGGCGGCGAGCGCGACCTCGACCTAGAACGAGAATATGAGTCGTCTCTCTTGCTCGCTCGTTTTGCGGGTGCTGGGGAGCGCGAGTAACTTTCTCCCCTCCTTCGCCTTGGCGGACTTCGCGAGCGCGAAAGGGAGCGGGAACGGGAACGGGAACGGGAACGCGACCGCGAACGTGAGGGGGAACGAGAATAGGAGTCGTCTCTTTTCTTRGCCTTTTTGACCGGCGTTGGAGAGCGGGAATAGCTTCTCCCTCGGGTACGTCTGGGTGGAGTTCGCGACCGTGATCGAGATCGAGATCGCGAGTCTGAACGAGATGAATAGCTGCTGTAGCTGCTATAGCTACTCACGCTTTCGCTGCGCCCTCTCCTGTCCGGCGTTGGGCTCCTAGCTGGTAGTGCTGCGGGAGCAGGCTTCGGCGCATTCTTCAACCACTCGCGCATGCCCTCGGTCAGCGCACCCATACCAATGGCGGTAAAGAAGTTGATGCTGAAACGCGTGCTCTTCGGGTCGTCGGTTGGGAATATACCAGTAAGAGCGGGCGCAAGCGCGTCATCCTTGAGCTTCTCTTGAAGGGTCTTCATTCCAATACCTTGGGCAAGCTCCTCGATCAGAATCTTGATGAAGATGCGGCTGGAACTGGTGGTGTCCTCCTCGTTCAAGCGAATGACATGGAACACATGCCAGCCGATTGCGTTCGCGGAGAGCAGGTGCCCAAAAAGTTGGGCGATGATTCGTAACCGGTTCGTCTCGTAACGATGGATGGTCTCGTAGTACTTGGTGAACATGTCTTGGAACAGATCCTGCCACAAGCGATTGAGCTTGCAGAATCGCTCTCCGATCAGACCAAAGAACTTGTTGTAGGTACGTTCTTGGCTGCAACATTCGATGATCATGGACGGAAGCTCCTCTTCGCGACCGCTTGGGAGGTTGATACGCATGAGCTTGTGGCAAGCTTCCTCGAACTGCCCCGACGACATGATGGTCAGGTAGATGGAACGTCGAAGATTGACGAGGTCCGTGTTCGATTGATCCTTGATCTCGACGGCCTTGTCCGCGACTGCTWCTTCATCATCGTCGCTGCTTTCGTCGGATCCGTCCTCTTCATCCTCGTCTTCGCTGCCGGAAGCTTCACCCAAGATCTCGGCCTTGAGTTTCCGGTAAGCCTCTTCATTCGCTTCGTATTCGGCGTCGAATTTAAAGATGTTGAGCCCATCCTCCGTAGCCAGCTGGTCGTCCAGCCCAGGTCTGTGCGTGATTTGGTCTTCCTCCTCCACCAGGTCGAGCTCATCCTTCACCGCGGGGTGATCCTTGTATTTGTCCTTCCTAATCTGGAACAGTACTTCAATCATGTATTGCACTCTCTTGTCAATATCTGCCTCGTGGAGAATGCTTCTGAACTGGTCGTACACCGCAAGTCCAATCTGCGAGTTCATCTCTTCGATGTGATGCCCCACCTCCTTCATCAAGCCTACGGCAATTTCCACGCTGTCATCAGTTGGCTTGTGGAGCAGCAGCAGCAGAATTTGCGCAGCGAGCATCTCGTGGGCAACTTGCTGGTTGATCAAATGCGCGATAAAGGTGGTGCTACTGCCGCAAACGCTCTTGTCGTTTCTCTTGAACGCTTTCCGGAATTGAATGATCAGTCGGCTGATCAACAATTCGCCCACCTGCGGGAGTTTCGTATTCACAATAGCAACCATGGCGGCGTAAATTGGCGTAAATGGCAAGCTGGCGGCCTGCGCTTTCATGATGCTGCGGCAGAACAGGCCCCGGCCACGAACAAGGTTTTCGTTGAACAGCTCGGGCACAATGTGCTTAATGTTCGACACGTTGACCTTGTTGATCAGACCGTTGATGGACTTCTTCAGTGCCTCCCAAGCCATCCGCTGGTATTCTTTGGACGTTTTGTCCGTGATCTGGGCCTGCAGTGCCTTCAGACGAGCGGGCGGAATGTACGTGCCACCAGACCGCATGTTGAGCAGCTTGTCATACTCCGCCTTTGCAGCTGCCTGCTTCTCCGCGTCCGTCAGCGGCTTCCGTGCTTCCTGTCCAGCATCGTCCCGCTGCCTCATCTCCAGCTGCCGTGCGCGTTCCTGTGCTCGCGAGTGATCCACGTCGCGGAGGAGAGGCCCGTCTCTACGCCCATGTCCCGCCCCATCGCGCGGCGGCGGCGACCTCGAGTATGAGCGCCGGCGAAGATTGGGCGCATCTCGTCGGGGAGATGGTGAGCGCGAGTGCGAGCTGCGTTTCCGTGATCCGCTCGCTGCAGCAGCCGCCGCAGACTCATCTACAGGCTCTGGTGTCGGTAACCGCACCGCCGACTCGACGTTGGTGGCCATGACGAGCAAGAGCAAGACGTGGTGATAATGTCAAAAGAAAATGCTTTGCTGTTGGCGGCTGATSATCTGTTTGAAACGACGTGCGAGTCAGCAAAAAACCTTAATTTGCTACTTCGATATGAACAACTCCAACAACTCCAACCATCTACACTTTTAATTCCATTCGTTTGGAAAGACGCAGCAGCCATTGAGTTTGATTGGTGCTGAATTCGCTGACGAGCGTCCAATCCACAAGAGTTGGAACGCTTCAGTAGCACCGAAAGCACATTGCCCGAAAGACGGATGAGGCTTCTGAAGCCAGTGCGTGCCTGGATCTGGTCCCCATTTTGCTCGCTCCCGCAGCGGCTATACAGTACACCAAGTCCCTTTTGTTGTAACTTGCGGTCGAATCATCAGATGAATAGACCACGAAACCGACAGCAGCGGCCGCCTCGCGAGCAGAACCGGGGTGGCCGGCGAGGACCACAGTCCGGCTCCCAGATTGGATCAGTGCCCACCATTCAGCAGGTCGTCCATGGAGCGTCGGTTTCGATAGTATTGAAGGAAGACCAGCCAACAGGTCGTGAAGTCCAAGGATCTGTACAAGACCTTTTGACTCGAGGCAATCATCCTAGGGGAATAAAGGTAAGATGCAAAATCACTATAGGAATAGAGATCGTCGAAGATGCCTGATCATGTATTCGATTTGGCCCGCAGTTTATCACATTTACTAATACTCACTTTTCTCAAGGTTCGCCTTACAGATGGCAGGGTGGGAAGAGTCCAACGCATGGCGACCGGCTCGACATGTGCAACACAATCAAGCAGCGCAGCTCCAACCCACCAGCTCACACATCACATGGTGGACAATTCAGCAGCTACTCCTGATGGCCCTCCACCTCGCTCGCTGGCAGACTATCTACCTACTTTGCAGCGCGAGCCTGACCCGCCAATCCAAACAAGCAAGGCTACCTTCACAACTGCGACTGCCACGTGCCCAATTTGTGGATTGTTCGAGGGCGATGAGGTCGCAGTCTCTCATCACGTCAACGAACATCTCAGCTGAGGTCACGGTGTTCACAGCATTCGCAATATTTTGAAACTTGGTTTAGACCAACTGGTAGCCTTGACTACGCGTGCTTGGGGTGAGCAAGAAGGTCTAAAAGACGACCAAATAAAGCTCGAGAACAGAAACCTTGAAGCTGCCGCAGCAGGCGAGGTCCGGCACTTCAGGAGGTGCTGACGCTTAGGAGTGTTGAGCTGTCATTGCTTGAACTCCCTACAGCCATCCCGCCAGCGCACATCGCCATTTCTGCGTGCTGGCCTCCTCTCGTGCACGGTATAGCCAAAGTGCTAGATGTCACAGGTCTACACTGTACAGCACGAAGGCGACCGACCATTCAAGGTGTATACCCCCGGTGAAGATGCCTGCGTCTCAAGACATGCAACACACCCTGTGTTACCCTTGTGTAGACACAGGCATGGAGTACAAAGATTGAAGACAGTGTTTGAAAGTTGTGGAGGACATGCGATCGTTGATACTTCATAGTAGGTCCCATGGCTAAGCCTTGGGTGCAGTTCGTGCCCTTCATACACTTCTTAGCTTTCGTAGCCTTTTGGTCTTGATGTCCTTCGACAATCATGACAAGTCCGCTCACAATACAAGCGCAAACTTTTCGTGTCCCATCTCCRCTCAAGACATGGCATCACGCTGACTGTCCGCAACGAGGAAAGCCAACTCCAACGCCTGCTTCTCATTCAAGCGAGGATCACAGTAGGTCTGGTATGCCCTGCTGAGATCGGTGTCGTTGATGTTCACACTACCGCCGGTGCACTCGGTCACAGCGTCTCCGGTGAGCTCAAGGTGCACGCCGCCCAAGTAGGAGCCGCACTCTTGATGAATCCGCAGTGCCGACGACAACTCGTCGAAGATGGACTGGAACGAGCGTGTCTTGATTCCTTCCGAAGTGGAGCGTGTGTTGCCGTGCATCGGATCGCATTGCCAGACCACGATGTGTCCCGTCTTGCGAACCGCTTCGATGTGCGCGGGARGCATCTCGGCAATCTTGTCCTTGCCGTAGCGAGTGATGAGCGTCACCTTGCCAATCTCTTTGCGAGGATTGACGATGTCGAGTAGCTTCGTGAGAGCTTCGATTGTTGTTGATGGACCGACCTTGATGCCAATCGGATTCTCGATACCACGGACAAACTCGATGTGAGCGTGATCTGGCTGACGAGTCCGATCACCGACCCAAACGAAGTGGGCACTGGTATCATAGTATCCGTACTCGTCGTCTGGGTCGAGAGCATGGTCCGCATCACCATTGACGTGAGGTGAAGCGTCCTGCTTGTTTTGAGGCACTTGACGATTGCTCGGATGCTTGAGCTTTCGTGTGAGACCTTCCTCGTAGGCAAGTAGTAGAGCCTCATGACTGGTGTACAGATCGACAGTCTGTAATCCACTCGCYGTGTCCGCACCGACAGTCCGCATGAAGCGTAAGCTAGAGCGGATGCTGTCCACAATGCCAGAATACTTCTCCAGCAGCTTAGCATCCGTGACGTGGCCGAGACCCCAGTCCAAAGGATTGTGGAGGTCTGCAACTCCAGAGGCGAGCTGTGCGCGAACGTAATTCAAGGTAGCAGCAGCGTGGAAGTAAGCCTGCACCAAGCGATCTGGATCGAGCGTCCTGTCGTTGGGATCGTATGAGTTCAGGATGTCGCCGCGCCAGCTGGGAATCTCTTGTCCGTTGTGCAACTCAGTCGGCGAGGATCTCGGTTTGCCGTATTGTCCAGCCATGCGAGCAATTCTGACCACAGGCCTGTTGCCTCCCCAGATGAGAACCAGGGACATCTGAAGCAGGAGCTTGATCTTGGAGTCGATTGAGCCATCGTGACAATACTCGAAAAGTTCTGCGCAGTCACCGCCTTGCAGAAGGAATGCATTTCCCAGCGCCACGTCCTTGAGGGAGTTTCTGAGTTTCCAAATTTCCGTAGGGGTGACGATTGGGGGAACGCGGTTCAGTTTGGTAAGAGCAGTCTCAACCAGCGCATCGTCTTCGTACTTGACCGCGTGCACGGGCACAATTGGCTTGCTTCTCCACGAACCGGGCGCCCACTCATTGGGCTTTCCGCCGCTCATGATGATGATCCGTGATCCTCAAGTGAGGAGAGCTGTTGGTGTTGTGCGAATGTGGATGAATAAATTCGAACGCTCAAATTATACTTTTGAGTCACCTCTCACAAGGGAAAGCTCGAGCCACGATTTGAGAGGTGCATTCCATTCCGTGTAAAGATAGATACTCGATAGCGTTTCATATATCGATTTCCCCAAATAAATTAACGCAACCGTGTGGACGAGCTGACCTATGGACACCGATCCAACAGCTCGCTCTCCTTCATTCAACTTCTTCACAAACGCAATGCCTACAGCATTGGCCCACCGCCGTCGCCCGCTGGATTCAACTCATGTGACATTCTCTGCGCAATTTCGACATCCTGTTCGACGCCGTAGACCTTTCGACCAAACGCAAATGATGCGGCATCGGGAAGTTCGTACGAGGCATGTCAACGGGGAGGCACCATGGCGTCAGAAGATGCCGTACTGCCTCAGACTCTTCGGAGGGATCTCTGGCGGCATACCAATGCCCAGCCGCGTCGTATTATAAGGCAACGAAGTCCCCATGGTCTGCGCAATCCTCTCAACTCCGCCGCCACAGTCGACACCAAAGCACCTCCACATTTCGTCACTTCCAGCGCACTCCATCACGACAGCGAGCGACCTAGCATCCAGAGACACATCCGGTATTCCAGAGGCCATGTCTGGCGGAGCATCTTGTGATTGCTGTACTTTGTTTTTCGTTTCAAACCAGGTCGTCCTGCTTCAAAAGAACGTATTGCCGTGGTCGATTCTTTTCCTGTTCCTCCTGCTGCCGGAGCAGCCTCGCCCAAGCCACAAGACAAAGTCCTAGACATACGCAGACATATCCGATGATTTTGAGGGCCAATGCGGAGATCATCGTCGCTGTGTTCCTTCAGCACGTTGTTCATTGATTCGAAGCAAGGTACTTACCATAATCTTTCCTCGATTTCTTGAAACGTGAACTAAAGAGCGCCGCCGAGGATGATAGATTGCCCTGTGTGTTGTTACTGTGTCTGTTGATGCATGGTATGCTTCTGTTGGCTTCACTAATTCCAGCTTTTGTCGAATATTTTAGAGCTCAGTGACCCGGGAAACGTGAGCTACGCATGCGTCTTACATATGCTATTATTCGGTCTCCGGCCAGCTCTTTGCTTCAATTTGCCCCTGGTAACTTCCCCGGTCCGCAGCAGAAGCGGACTTTCTTGGCCTCTTGGATGCCAAATACGTTGCAAAGATCCATGCCTGCATGTTAGAAACGGAGGTGACGTGCGAGCGCAGGAGGCTCGCCCTGCGATGCGCCCTCGAGGTGATTCCGCAGAGCATACACCTGCTTCCTGATAGTCGACATTTGATGGTATTTGATTGAAAAAAATTGATTCAGTACTGCGGACCGGTCGGTCTAGCTGAGGGCCGGAAAGTCAGGGGCCAATCTCCGTCAACATCCTGCTCGCGGCTYGTTCGGATATGAACTTTCAAGGCCACGAGCCGCCAGCGCCACCAAGGTCGAGACCTACAAATCGCGAAACCGTAAGTGAGTCGGGGCTGGACGCTGTACACCAGTTCTGCGTCAGCTGCGAGGCACCTTTCACCGTATTTGGTGATGCATCATCCTGTCGTGCCGGGCAGCTTTCCTGACGTTGCGTGGTGAACTGCCACAAGACGTGGATCAAGACGGCGGGATTTGCTCCTTGTGTCTGGTTGAGGCACGATACCCATGCCTATACAGCACTTGAGACCCATTGGACCATGGCCTTCAGTGTGTCGCCCTCGTGTGCACGCAGCAGTTCCGTTGCCCTGGCCTTGCTGAGGTCCAGCTGTTCCGCCTACAAATATTCGAGATCAACAATGCCCATGACGGTTCGGGATGCTCTGTCCTTACCAGCGATGCCACCTCTGCGGGATCAAGCTTGATGATTTTCTTCGGCGCCGCTTCTTTCTTCACCGCATTTCCCGAAGTAGTTTTCTTGGGAGCTTGGCTGAGTTCAAAGTCTTTGAGGGCTTTTGAAAGCGCCTCTTGATCCACCTCTTTCTTGGGAGCTTCGTCGGCGCCTGTCGCATCGAGTGAAGACATGGCTTGGGCCGCTTTTCGGTCTTCTTCGGACGCGGGGACGACATCTGGTGGGTCGGCACCCTCGGTCACGTTGTTGGGTTGTGGCTCAGCCATTGTAGCGGTGTAGAAGGTTGTAGTATGGTTGGTACTGTGGTTGTGTAGAGTCGTCGGYGATTCGTGAGTGTATATCAATTTCGAATAGGGCGTTACTCTATCGGAAGTATCGTCTTAACCTTAACGTAAGGCGGTAGCGGTCCTTTACTAGCTTCTATAAAGGGCGTAGCTACTACGTTCGCTATAATCGTTATAGTATTCGTCGGTAATAGAGACTAAGCTAGGGATAGTAGCTCGGAACTTAAGAGCCTTCTAGCCCTTTATAATAAGGATTTATCTATAGTAAATACGATAATGTTTAACTCTACGTACGGTATTTAGCCCTTTAGTTTAGTAGTATTAAAAGTAAGGAGTTTCTCTTCTAAGGTATCCGCCTTAAGGGCTCTTTTACTAATAATAGCTAGTTAGTAGCTAACTAGATCGAACTCGTCTATAAACTAATAGCTATAGTAGTTCTACTCTATACTCGCGTAGCGTATCTTTTAATCTATCCTCTCGTATATAAAGTTAAGTAATAAACGCTCTAACTTAAGGAACGTTTATTCGGTCTAGCTATCCTTAAATTGTCCGTATAGCTCTAGCTCTTAGTAGGTCTACTTCTTAGTTCGGTAGTATACTATAATCTTCTAAAACTATACCTTAGATATAGCTTAAATTCTAAAGCTTATATTAGTAGTAACTAGCTTAGTTAGAACTAGAGGAGCCTATCGTTACTTACCTTTAGTAGGAGTCTTTAATAGAGGTTCCGCTAGCGCTAGCGGAGCGCTCTAGCGAGATAATATTAGTTTACTACTAGCCGAGTATATATAGTAGCTTAGTACCTTAAATACGTTCTTTTAGTATACCTTAGCTTCGTTTAGAAGTAATAAAAACGTAGATCTAAATCTAAGAGGGAGGGCGGCTATTATGTTCGTAGTACTCGTAGTACTATTCGCTACTATAGATTACTTCTTAAACGTATTAAACAAACTCTCTATTCGAGGATTACGAGCTTAATATTACGAGTAGTAAGAATAGTTAGCGAATATAACTTCGTAGTCCTAGCTAGATACGGTATATCGACTAAACTAAGGTAGGGGGTCCTATTCGCTTATATTCGTATAGGTATTCGTATAGAGCCCCTTTTCTACTAATTTGTCGTTTTGTCGTTTTATCGTTCTATTATTTTGTCGTACTATTATATAAGGGTAAAGATGTAGCAATGTATTAGACACCCGTAATTACTCGATTAGAGATAAGACTAATTCTTATAGGTTAAATGTGCGCTGTGCGTAG